TACTCGAATTTGTGATCTTTTTTGACATTTTTCGAAATATTCGCAGAAATTATTTATTTTTGAATTCAAAACACAGTTTTTTTTATTTCAAAAGAGTTTTTATGATTTTTGTGCCAATTATTGCGCGATTGAACTCAAATATGAAATTAGCGTTTATTTTGTTTCCTTAAAATCCTTTTAAGAGCGGATTTTATTTACATTTTTATTTTATTTACAATTAATTTACACGAAATTCGAGTATTTATTTTGAATATTTATTTCAAAAGAGTTTATTTTGCAAATAATTAATGAAAAACCGATTGTTGTTGTGATTAATCTCTTTTATATAATTGTGTTTCAAATGTACAAAAAAACGGCTCAAAATTGCCGATCATTTTGAGAGAAAACATTAGAAATAATATTGAATTTGAAGGTTATAAATGTGTTTCGGATTTAAAATGAATACCTTTTGCATGAATTGTGAAGAATATTGTATTCAAAGATTGAAAGTCTGAGACCTTCAGTGAAAACGAGAGATTTGATAAGCGCTGGGAATAAAGAAATTGTGAAATTCAATGAAAAACTATTTCAAGTGTTTTTATCCACAATTAGTCGCTTATAGACTAAAAACGTTATAATTATCTCAAGTCTTGGTTCGGAAGACGAAGTTTTTGATATTGATCTCAAAATTGATTACATTTTGAGTTCTCGCTGAATATTAATCCATTATTTGAACAAAATGTCTATTTTATTATGAATTCCGAGTTTTAGACACTTTTGATTACAATTTCCCACTTTTTCGAAACTTCTCTTTACTATTGTCTCAGACATTAAGAGTCATAAATAGTCTTATATTTTACTACAAATGAAACGATGTTTTCTTACGAAGAATCTCTTGATTGAAGTCTAAAAATAAACTGTAATTTCATGAAACTTCTCTTTACTATTGTCTCAGACATTAAGAGTCATAAATAGTCTTATATTTTACTACAAATGAAACGATGTTTTCTTACGAAGAATCTCTTGATTGAAGTCTAAAAATAAACTGTAATTTCATGTGTTATTAAAATGTGGAAATTACACAAAAATGTTTGCATTTTGCATACAATTGTAAACCAAATGATAGAAAATGTTTTCAAACGCGAAAACAGAAGCGAATTATGTGTTTATAAATCATTTATTCATTTAAATCGATGTTTTCTTGTGTAATATTTGTCTCTTTTTTACATTCATATTATATATAATACTCTGTATATTAATGTATTGGATATAAAGCCATAAACTTTTTGATTGACAATAAAAATAAACAAATGAAAACTCTTTGTAAAAACGATTTTATGTAAAACTTTATCGATTTTTGTCGTCCGGAACTCATTCACAACTCTTCTCATGTGTACTGAATGTCTGATTTGGAAATCAATACAAGAGTCGCGAAAGTCTGGCATTTATTTCCGAAAACACAATCTCTTCAGGAAAAGAGTCGCAAAAGAATTGGAATTTATTTTCGTAATTAATTTTCTGTGAACTAAATATGAATTTATTTCACGAAAAACTAAATCCAAGTCAAGTATCACTTGAAAAGTCATTAACAAGTCGTTGAAATATAACATGACTTCAAGAGAACTTCTTATTGGAGTTTAAAATTTGAATTTTTGGCCGAATTTGAGTATCAATTAGTTTTCATGCGTTTAATTAGTTATAGAAAGTAAATCCAAAACGAATTAAAAGAAATAAGTATAATTATAATAATTATTCAAATAAAAGGAAGTTTATTACAAAAACAATAAAATTAATATCTTTTGTTTTTATAGATTATTTAATAATTAGTAATAATTATTATCTTTTTAGAAGTTTGATAATAATTATCATTTTTCGTATTAATCTTTTATAAATGATTAAAATAATTCTCATTAAAATTGTGTTTTCGAAAAACATGTAAAATACTTGACATTCGATGGAAAAGAGGAAAATCAATCATTTGTGCAAAACGTAAATCTCTGAAACACTGAACACATGTTTAACAATGTTTGCATAAATTGTTCATTAATTGAGCAGAAAATAAATAAATACACGAAATTAATTGTTTCAAAAAACAAATGGCGAATGAACTCCGAGTTTAGAAATTTGTGTTTCAAACTCAAGATTAAATGTAAATATTGTCTGAAAGTGAGAGACAGGAAGAGGAGAGGGAGAGAAGACTCAAATATGTTTAATATAATTCACTCAAAGTAATGGCAAAAAGTGTATTTAAGTTAATTTTTTCATCAATTTGAATAATGTTTGAACTTTATTTTAAATAAATATGCGATCGTTGAAAGTATTCCTTAAAGTATCACTTTATATAAATAGCGATATTTTAAAAATAGTTATTTTGTGAAAGAAATTCATTTTTGATGACATTATTTGATTCAAACATTTCAAGAGAATTGCATTTCATTTCACAATAAAATGATGAATAATAACGAAAAAATTAACTTTTATTTTGTTTTTGTATTTTTATTCAACGAAAGAGAAGAAGACTTGTATAAAAAAGTTAATTATCTAAAGAAATGCATTTACAGTAGACTTCAATTATATCTAGAAATAACACTAATTTCGTATCAATTTTATTGGAAATATTTATTTAATATTTTTCACTTTTATTTAATTTATCAAAAATATTAAATTTACAATAAATTTGAATAATACAAGGAAATTCACACGAAATATAATTTTCGATAAATTTATTCAATTTTTACGACAAAAGAGTTGAACAAAAATTAAATTTTATTGAATTTATTATTTTATGCAAATTCAGAGTATTTTTCACATTATATTAATCTATTGAGAGTTTGTGTAGAAATTGAATATTTGTTTAATAAGTTCTGTTGTATTGATAAAAGTTTAAAACAAATTGAAAGAAGTTTGAAATGACGTTTGATTTAAACAAAATGTGAATTTTGTTAATTAAGTCAAAAGTGAATATATTTTCAGAGTTTCTTATCTGAAGTTAAAAACAATTTTTTCTAAAAATATAATCATTGAATAATTCATTGCAAAAATTACTTCAAAAATATCTCAAATCAACACTTTTTGCGACTTTTATTTGGTTTCAAACACGACTTGAGGTCATCAGAGATAAGATTGAAATCAGTTTTCTTCTGTTTCAAAGAAAAAGTGGTTTTCAATCAATTGTTTCGAAAAAAGTGAAAATAAATTTCAACAACTTTTGGATCAATCGATACAATAAATAAATAACTGAATGAACAGAACAGACAAATAGATAAAATTCGCGAAAGAAATCGAAACTCTTTTTTGCTTTCTTTTGCTTAAAAGTGATTATCGATTGAGAAAACAATTGCTTTTTGTATTTACTGTGAAAAACGTGAAAACATTGTCTCCAAAAGTTTTAATTCACTTGAAATTAGTTTTTGTTTGATTTTATATTTATTTCGTTTATAATTATTCAGAGTTTAGGAAAATGAAGAGAAATAAAATCATTATAAAGATTAAATAAATCGGTTTAAATTAATGGCTTTTATAAAGAGTATTAATTAATAAATCCAATGATTAATTAACGTATAAAATGGGAAACATTGGTTATAAATGAACGACTAATTGACTATTTATCAAAAATTCTGTGCATTTAATGACAAAACCGTTTATAAAAAATTGTTATCAAATATTTAAATGCATTTTATATGAAATCCGTAATTATTTTGTTGTTCTCGTAATGAATATCGCTTTGAATTCATATAAAAAAGCGTTTAATTTACAAAACTTTGAACTCAAACAACATTCAAACAAATGTACGAAAAGTTCAATAAAACTAAACAAAAAGTGACAATAAATTCATGTTAAAAGAGATTGAGTTTCGGTTTTGACAATAATTTTCGTGTCTTTCCATACATTTCACACATTTTGCTATTTGTTGTGATTTTATAAATAATTTGTTCCAAACCTCAGGTATTGTTAGGACTGTTGTGAACGCTCNTCCAAACCTCAGGTATTGTTAGGACTGTTGTGAACGCTCTGATTGTTCGCGAATAATGTCTAAAATTAATTTCATTGCTTTCTTATGGTTTGCAAAATTCAAGTTTTGTTACGTTTTCTGGTTTTACGCTTTGAATACAATGTCTGAAAGTTTTGCTCAAAATTATTAAATAAAATTATCATTAAATATTAATGAAGACTCTTTCGACGCCTGTTTTATAGTTATAAAACCAGAAAAATATTAGTTAACGACTAATAAAGCCTTTTATGAATTTCAAATTATTATATAACGAAATGTGTGTCATTTTTGCGCAATATTTGTCCCGTTTTGTGAACTTTTTGTTTTTGTTCAAAACACCAAAAAACAAATTATCATTTCAGACAAAGTCTTGTTTTCAAAGCGTTTTCCACAAAAAGCGGATTCAAAACAATTAATAGGAATTTCAGTCACGATTCAAATGTTTATTTTGATTGTGTTTTTGGACATTAAAATGATTGCAATTTATTTTATATATTACAGCAAATATTAATACATTTTATGCAAATTATAGCTATTTTTTGCATATTTTTTTGGATATGTTTTCCGTAATTATTCCAACATTTATTGATTTTTACACCTTTTATACTAAATAATACATAATTAATGCTTTTTTGTGTTTTATTAATGTTTTTGTATTACTTTTAAACAATCGATAGTTTAATAAACTCGAGATTTTGTGATTGTTTCGATAGAAAAGAGAAAATATTGTCTAAATTTCAAAAATTGTGTTTTATTTGCAATAAAATATCAAATTTACTAAATATTATGTAAATTCCCGGCCTTTGAACTCATGTGTGATTTGGACACAAAAATCAGTTTCAAAAAAACTTTTTGTGTTTCAATCGTTTGTAAAGTTAGAGTTGTTTTCAGATTAAAAGTGTACATAAATATCAATATCTCTAAAACCTTATCTAAAAATACTATAAGAAGTGAAAGCCATTCACAGAATAGAAAGAAATCGCAAAAATCGGATTCAAAGCACTCTTTAAATAATGATATCTTTGGAAACTCAGTTCGCGATCGTCTCTTTGGGCTCGTCTTTGGCGTCCACTTTGCCGTCGCTCTTCGCGTCCGCCTCTTCCGCCTTCTTGACGATACAGATGTTGGGAATAACAGTGGCGCCGCCTCTGCTTAACAGATCCTGATAGAGAATCCACGCGAACCAGAAGCCGAGGCCAGTGATGGAGAGGTCGAGCAGGAAGTTGGTTGTGGTGAGGAGTGGGGAGCGGAAGGCGAAAGTGGTCGCCTGACCGATGGTCACGACGGCCGCCACCATCGCGAACGCCGCCACGAAGTAGAAGATCTCGAGGGCGACGCCTCTGATGCCGATCGCGATTATAGTGAGCGCCAGAATGTCGAGGATTAATGTGAGAAAGAGGAATCCGATTTGTTTGTTGAACACAACGATGTCCGCGATTAGAGTCACCAAATAGACCTGTGAAGCAACGGTTAGGCGTTTTAATACTTGTGTTCAATAATGACTTTTAAATAATAAATGAGTTAATTATCGACTATTTGTAAATAATATTGTTTTTCTGATATTGTTTTGCGATATTCTGAACATTGTTTGAATTTTTGTGAGAAAATTATTTATGAGAATAATGTTTACTTATTTAAGAATAATTATTTGCAAAATGTTATTCCCATAGAAACTGAACAGTGTTTCAATTATTGCACGAAACAATGTCCAACTGTTGCATTTCGGCAACATGGTCGAATCGAGTCCTAAATAGTTGTAATGTTAATTAAAAATGTAACATTACACTTATGTTATTGAAATTATCTGTACTTATAATTTGGAAAATGATTTTCTTAATTATAACTTTATTAATAAAAATATGTTTCAAATGTAAAACATATTAAACTCTAAGAGTAAAAGACAATAAGTGTGAAAACATTGCGAAAACAGAGTTAAACTAAACATTAATTGTGTTTTAAATAATGGTTTTCAATAAGAGTAATAAATAAAGCAATGATTACCAGAAACGTAATGACCAGCAGAAGCAGAAGAACCGCCTGAACGGTGCGAAAGGATTTACTCTTCGCCAGAGTAAGCCAGCTCGGTAATCAGAACTAGAGTAGGTACTGAACACGACTGTTAGCCTAATTCAAATTTTGCTGTCGTTTTCTCGCTGTTTTGTTACTTTTACACTTGTTTGTCTCGCTTCCGCAACAGGAGACTCTCGCAATACTCAGCACTTAAGGCTGTGTTCTATCTGTTGTTCTGTTGTATCAGATGTTGGGCTCTCTTTCGCCCTCTCACAAAACAATGAAAATGTGAACAAACAGAGCGAAGGCGTTGTCCTCTCTCTCGCAATACTCAGCACTTAAGGCTGTGTTCTATCTGTTGTTCTGTTGTATCAGATGTTGGGCTCTCTTTCGCCCTCTCTTTCGGTTTGGTTTCCATGGAATCCACGGATTATTACTCATTCATTCGCTTTCAGCCAAAACTTGTGATAATAATACCATTTTGATCGACTTTTAGGCGTTTTCTCGTTTCAATCATTTATAAACTCAATTATTATTATTAAACAATACTTAAGATTCACTCTATTTTAGCATTTTGTCACAATTTTTGTGGTTTTCTGTTTCCAAAACTGCATTATTTGTCATTTTAAACCATATTTTAGAGACAAATTCAATGAACTTTTTTGTCAAACAAAATAATACACAAAAAGGCATTCATTTCCCGGATTTCACATTTTTGATTGAATTTGCGTTTAGTTTGGTTTTTAATGTGTTTCCATTGTGTCAACAAATAATGGCAAATAATTCAATGAAAATAGTTTCTAAATCGCGATTAAAAAACACAAATAAATCAATAGTTTGCAATAAATGCGTGAAATATTTGTTTGTTTTAATTCTGATTTTCTTTGTTTCGTTTGGTTTTCTCTTTTCGTTCACTTTTCCCACAAATGACGAAAAGAACGAGAACTCAAACAAAACCCAAAACACGACACGAGAGGAGAAGTGGTGGACGAATGCCGTCTTTTACGAGATGGACGTCCGGGCCTTCAGAGACAGCGACAGCGACGGCGAGGGAGATGTGACGGGAGTTATCGAGAAATTGGATTACGTTAGCGCTGTTCTGGGCATTGATTGCATAATTTTGAGTGCATTTTATCCTTCAAACAGTGTTTCCAAGAATTCGTTTGATTTCACGGATTATAAAAATGTCGACAAAAGCTTTGGAAGTCTTTTGAATTTCAAACAATTGATTGAAAATGCGAGAAAACGGAAAATGAAAGTTTTGATAGACTTTTTGCCAGAGTTTACGAGTGATAAGCATTTGTGGTTCAAAAAATCCGTTCACAAAACCCAATATTATTCGCATTATTACAAATGGATAACAAGTGAGGAATATTTGAGTCTCAAAACAAATTCAAATTGGATTTTCAATCCAATCAGAAATGAGTATTATTTCTGTGAATTCAATGCCGAAGAACCGAACATTGATTTGAATAATGCGAGAGTTCGTCAAGAATTTGTGAATGTTTTACTCTTTTGGCTCAATTCAGGTGTCGATGGGTTTCGCGTTGTTCTCAAAAGTGAATCAAATGTAAACATTTTGAACGATTTGTTGCGAGAATGGCGTAAAATAGTTAAGGATTTTGACGAAAATAAATGTCTTTTATTGGAAACTCAAATACTTTCTCGAAATATAGACTTTTCTGCGGACTTAATGGTCGACAAAAGTTTTGCAACAAATTCGTCGAAAAACAACAAAGATTCAAACATTTTACACACTTTTCAATCACTTTTGGAAAACACATCAAATATAGCATTAAAAACCAGTGATTATAGTTTGGGAAGACTTTTCTCGAGATATAATCACAACATTTCAGTGCTTGTAATCGCTGTTCAGCTCTTGTGTCCAAAAGTGGCGACAATTGTCTTCTTTGGCGACGAAATCGGATTAGAAGACAATTCGGATGTCATTATAAACGCGAGGAATAAATTCAAAACATTTCAGTGCTTGTAATCGCTGTTCAGCTCTTGTGTCCAAAAGTGGCGACAATTGTCTTCTTTGGCGACGAAATCGGATTAGAAGACAATTCGGATGTCATTATAAACGCCTCCTTATTTAAGTCAAAACTTTTGATAATGTCTAGACATTACGTTACCTTAAGTTTGCGTTTATTGCCTCCTAAGTCACTTCGCTGCCTAAACTTCGGCACCGAGTGATAACCGGTGTTAATGCCGGAATATAACGTTGAGGAAGAGTTGAACACAAATGGGTTTTCATTTCTCAAGTTTTTCAGAGATTTGATTGAATTTCGCAAAACTTATTCAAAGTTTTCGAAAGAAATAAAGTTCCCAAAAGTGAATTCGTCTCGAGTTTTGGCTTTTGTCAGTTTTGGTCGACATTTGGACTCATTTTTAGTCGTTGTAAACGTCGATAAGGAAACGACTGTTAATTTGAATGAAACATATTTACCACGAAAAGGGATTTTATTCATTGAAAACAGTGAAGAGTTTTACGCGAATAGAAAGCCAAAAGCAATGGATTTAAACGAATTCACAATAAACTCAAAGACATGTCTTGTAATCAAACTTCAGATCAATAATTAATATTTCACAAGAAATTGATTAAAATTCAATATAAAATGTCCCAAAATATAATTAAAAATGTTGTAAACAAACAGTATTTCAAATAGTTTTGAATATTAGCAAAACTAACAGTTATTTCACAGAATTATTTCAATAAAAACAAAATGTTAAATCTCTTGCCATGAAGTAAAGCGGCGAACAATTGAAAGAGGCATTAAGTATGTATTTCCTATGGACAATGAGTAGTAGATTAGTACCGTTTGTTGTTTCTCTTTTATTTGACTAATTTCGCTATTTTTATACAAATTGGTTTTATTCTCAATCGAGTCATAAAAGACGATAAATCTGAACGAATTCATGCAAATTATGAAAACTGTTTCTCGTTTCCAATTTCTACTGAAATGAAAACCAAAATTCTGTTTTCATTCCCGAATCACAACCCAAACCACGAGTGCTCTCTTCCCAAACCAAACCTCCTTTCGTGTCTCAAATGTCGCCAAGAATGACAACGAATCTATTGTTTGGCCCGAATTGTGATTGGATTGGACCAGAATTGCTGTTTAATTATACATTTATTCTAAATACTTTGTTCAAAATTACAGATATTTCTATAGAATTGTAAAGAATATTCCATTTGTTAATTTCTGTGCATTTCGCTAATCGTCGAGAATAGGAAGTCCTTTGTCGTCAGAAATCACTCCAAAAGCCCTTAAGATCAAAACGTCTTCTTTGTCCGCCATTTTGAGATCGTTTTGCGTCAAAAAGTGTTGTCTTTTTCCGATCCTTTCGTTCAAATAAAACCATTTCTCAGAGTCTTCGCATTTGGCGTACAATTCCTCTCTTCGACAACACGTTTGTGTGATTTGACTGAAAACAGTTCCCGGACTGCAGTCAAACACAAAGTGCCGTTTTATTCCCTGTTTTCACACAAATAATAAGATTATTCGCAGAAATTATGGCAAATCATGCAAAACCGTGTTTCGTTGGCAAACGTGGAAACGAACGCAACTGTGGAAAGAAAAAGGTTTCAAAACACGATTAAAAATCTCATTTTCATACTCGCTCTCAATGTCCGCAAAATATCCGTTTGTTTTGCATTCAAACGACTTTTTGAATCCCTTTTCCAGATTTTCGCACTTTTTAGAGAAGAAATAACAATTAATTCGACATTTATTGAGCGTTTAATTACTCGCAAATTTGCCATTAGTTGAACACAAATCAAAGAAAGCAAAACTTTCATTCTTTCGCGGATTTTGGAAACAAATAAACATTTTTGTTATTATTTCCGAAATTTATTTCATTTCAATCAAGGATTGTGTGATGAGCTCTTGAGGTCTCTTTTATTGCTCTTTAATCGTTATAATCATTGTTTTCAGTTTTAATAAGTATTAAAACGATTATTGAGTGAAAGATTACGTCATCTTTTCTAAAGGTTTTCACGATTCTATAATTGAATACAAATTACAAGTGATTTACAAAATGACCAAAATTTATGTAAAAACAAGTGAATTGTGATTAAAGTAGTGTTTTATTGCTTTTCTAATGATTTCACTATTAATTTAATTAAACAACGGAATTGAACAGAAGATTGACAGTAATCCCAATTGTAATTGATTTCCTCGAGTCTGTGTCTCAACAGAGGTCAATGTTATCCAATGGCTTAATTCCATCATGTTCTTCTCTGGCAATCTCTGGCCAATTGTAATGTAAAACCCTTTTCTATAATAATCTGCAAAAAATTGAATTTTCAAACTTTATTTATTATCAAAACTAATGATAAGTTTAATCTGAAAATGCACTCAAAGTGTCCTTCAAATCAATTTGCGATTAATTTAGCGAAAAATGTTTCGTTTTCTATGTTTCGTGTGTTTTATTTGCGGCGAAAGTCTTCAGCAAAACATTGTAAGCGTCGGCATTGAGAGCGCGATCATCAATGGATTGCGGGAAACGACGCGCGACGGCAACGAAGTGAATGTGTTTCGCGGCATTCCGTTCGCAGAGCCGCCGATCGGAGACTTGCGGTTCCGGCGACCGCTGCCGAAGAGGCGGTGGCCGCGAGAGTGGGATGCGTTCGAAATGAGCGCTAATTGTGTGCAAAACGCGAACATATTTGGCGTCGAGAAGAGTGTCACGAATAAGAGCTTTTCCGAAGACTGTTTGTATTTGAACGTCTGGTCGCCGAACAACGAGAGCCCGAAGGCTGTGATGGTTTGGATCCACGGCGGCG